TTGCAGAGCCATAGATTTGCCAACACAACTATGGCTACCGCCATGTCCCCCGGATTCATGGGGGGAAAAAAAAAAAAATTGGTACATTTGCTTGGGAGGCAAATAGGTCTATTTCTGGCTGGTTCCACATATCTGTGAGCCAAGAGAAAACTTCGACGAGAGCCCACTCCTCCTGACACACTGCTTGACGGCTGAGGAAATCCGCTAACACATTCTGGAGAGCCCTTTAGGCAAGGATTGATGCCAGGTTGGCCCCTGCCCATCTCAAAATCTTCTCCATAATCATCTGCAAGTTCAGACTCCTGGTGCCTCGTAGCTTGTTAAGCCACTGTTGTGCTCTTGTCTGAGAGGACTTGCAGATGTCATCATCTGTAAGTCCGTTCAATTGACTCTGAAACCCCATCAAAGCCCTCTCCACAGCCAAGAGCTTCCTTTGTTTTGAAGAAAACCAAGCTTCTGTCTTTGACCACTGGCCCTGGGCTATACTGTCTTGCATGTGCACATCCCATCCCCAAGAGCTGGCATCTGTAGTCATTCTCAAGGAAATTGGCCAAATCCAATCTAGACCCTGGAGAGATGAGCTTTTGTCCTCCACCACCAAAGATTCTGCTTAACCTTCTGAAGGAGGAGAATCTTGTCCTCCAGGGTGTTCCTTGCACCATTCCAGGCCTTAAGGAGAAAGTGATTTGAAGCCTTTGGTGAAACCAGGCCCAAGGAACAGCCAGGAAGAATGCAGTCATGAGATCTACTACTGCGGAAATCTCCCTCAGGGAAACAGGGAGATGTGACTGCAGCTGTGCTACCTGGTACCTGACCCTGTCTTGTTTGACTTCGGGGAGAAACACCTTTTGTACCACCATATCTACTTAGTAACCCAGGAACTTTATTGACAGAGATGGAACCAGGTTTGATTTTTCCCAGTTGATCACCAAGCCCAGGGATTGTAGGTGGTTCTGAGTAACCTCTAGATCCCTCCGCAACTTCTGTTCCGAGGGAGCAGCCAACAGGAGATAGTTTAAATAAGGAACTATATAAGGAACTATCAGAATGCCCTTTAGCCTCAATGGTGCTAGAGCTTCTCCCAGGACCTTGGAGAAAACCTTCAGAACTGAGGACAGTCTGAATGGGAGCGACCTGTACTGTAGGTGCTAAACATCCTCCCCCAACTTGATGGCCATCCTTAAGTACTTCTAACCAGATGCATGCATGGGAATGTGAAGATGTGCATCCTTCAGATCCAGGGTTACCATAAAACACCTCTGGCATAGGATAAGCCTGAGCGAGAACATCAATTTCATTAAAACAATGTTTGTATTTTGATTCGTTGAGAGGTCGCAAATTCACAATCAGACAGAATTTGCTTGAGAGTTTTTTCACCACAAAAATTAGGTATTTGATAGGTGGTAGAGGAGGCAATAGGTCTCCCTCCACCTTGCTGCCTGTTTTAACCCTTGAATGTATTGCGTTTTGCAACAGCACGGCCTGCCATGGCTGTAAAGCAAAGCATTGTGGCCACTGCATGAGTACAGCCCTGAGCAGCTGCATGATTCTTTTTAGGTGGGTGCAAGGTGGCATTAAAAACCTGGCAATACTGTCTGCTTTTACACCCCCCCCCCCAGTGGGAAAAAACCCTAATACAGTCTCTTCTGCAACCCCCTGGACTTAACAAGCACGTGAGTCTTGGGGGGGCAGTGCAAGGGTATTTTCCCTTTACTGTGCCTAGAATGGAGCTTTAAGAAAATAAAATGGAATTTCTATTATTTTTGCAATATCAATGTTTTTTTCTACTTCAAGTTGTTAATATGAAATACGTTAGCTGATTATGTGTGTGTGTGGATTATAATAAAGCAGCTGACACAGTTAATATGTATTTTTATTACTGCAGTAATTCTTCTTGTAACAATTCAAGTGGGAGGCTTTGTTTGACTACAAATCGTGAGATATCTAGAGGGCACTGCATTTAAGTTTTTCCTCTGTTCTGTAACAGTTTGCTTCATAAAGGCCAAGAGAATTTAAAAATTGTTCAAGCTGGTAATATAGTTTACACTCTGACTGTACTACCTATGACTAAATAAGTAGCAATCCATTCTGTTGATTTCCAATCCGGAAAGCCCTTGAAGTACATACTTGCTGGTAACTAAAAAAAGAATTGTAACAGGAACAGCCAACTGTAATGCCAAATAATGACGACTTTACTGCACTCAAAGTTTTAATGCTCTGCATTCAAAGTATGGGTTGACAGTGCTCCATGTCTACTACTACGGAGTGGCTCCAGCAATTACAACATATCTAAATCCAAAATCAAATATATAATGTATTGCAGTGCAACAATCTGAGAGCCTGGCACACACTAAAGTAGGCTGAACAGAGGAAAAAAAAAAAACAAAAAACAAATAAATAAATGGAGTGAGCACCATACTAACACAAGCAATGTCAGTATGGCAAACTCCCCGCTGTGCCTTTGTGTTCTGACAAGGCCCCACAGCCTTAACACACTGATCAGCACTCACAGCCATTGGTTGCCAGCACTGATCAGATGCTGGTTTTCCAGCATGCCCATTTGACAGTAGCAGGTGGTGTGACATGCTTCTGTAGAACATAAAGCTGTACACATGGGCTGAAAGTTAGCCCGTTCCTGCTGAATCAACCAATTTTGCATGATTTTTGGCCTGTGTGCATAAGGATTTAGAGAAGGTTGCATTCATTTTCTGCCTTTTTTTTCTTCTTTATTTTCACCTTGTTACCAGCCTCTCTCAATATTTTTGAGATGGAGGAACCCTCGAAATAACTTTTTTGTCTTCAGGGAACCCCTGCTAACAATTACATTTACAGCTCACAGTACATTATTGTGATGGTAAATGGGAAGAACGTTTCTTAATTTGCGATCAATGATAAGAATTACCCCCTTTCAGATAGCAAAAAAGATAATTGGTGTGAGTGGTTACTCATCTGAGAAGCAGAAATCACTTATTGCTCCAAGGACCCCTAGCTACCTTATTGTGGTCATTGGAAAGAATTCCCCCTTACAGATAGCTAAAAAGGCCATTGGTGTCAGTCAGTGGTTACTCATCTGAGAAGCAGAAATCTTACTCCTCAAGGAACCCCTAGAAACCTCTGGAGGAACCCTATGGTTCCACGGAACCCTGGTTGAGAAAAGTTGCTTTAGACAGTCTGTATCCAGAGTCAATCATTTGTAGGTAATCACTCCATGAGCGATTACATGCGAGCAGCCAATAATAGCTATGGGGCCCATCAGCCTTCCATAGCTTTCAAAGAGACTTCTCATCCACAACTATTTGCAAGGAACTCCCACTGGGTCTACGACATCAAATTGCAAACAGCCTCATGCAGATGTATAAATGGGGCCTAAAACACCAGCTCCAGCACTGCTCTGAAGCCTCAGCTCCAGGCAATTCCTAAAACCTCAGCTTCATAGTTGATCCAAGACCCTTCACTTCAGAAACTACTGCTCCAGCCCAAAAACGATTTGCGCTATTTAGCTAGTGCTGCCAAAGTAGTACAAAAACACCTTTTTCTACTTTAGACTTCCATAGGTATAACAAGTAAAAGTAAAGCTTGCCCTGGCACCTTATGACATTGGATATTCTGTGATAATCATTTTAGAATGTTTGACATTACCAGTTTACATTTAACAGAGCAGTTTTATTCATGTAACACAAACTGCCTTCCATGTCCCTTGAGCTTAAGTCAGAGAGCGCATGCACTGAAGATGCATTATCTTGTCATTATTCCCCTCTTCTTGTTTATTGGCGAAGATTTATTAGTGGGATATACTCAAAATATAATATTGTTTCCCATTATGATAAGTATGGAGTGTCGTATCACAGTATAACTGTGACCTTGTGTGGTTGGGGAAATAGCAGTAGGTTATTTGTAGGGAAAAAAGTGGCCAATTTTGAATGCTGTTGTGAATTTAGGTGGAGCCAAAATATTGTTTTTCTTTCATTTCCCCGGACATGCAGGGAATTATATTATAGCGATAATGTCCTCTAAACAAAACAGTGCTGACCTAACAAATTGCAGGCGGCAAAAAAATCCCAACAACCCCGATAACACGTGGACTACAGAAGCAAATGTGACAATATGCGGGCAACAAATGTTACATGGGGTTACAAAAAAAACAATAACTGACAATGACAACTGGAGCTATTCTACCTTTGCCCTCCCTCTTTCCCTATCTAGCTCCAGGGCCAAAGGAAAGAGCACAGTCCATAACGCTCCATACTGCCCACTCCCTTCTGCATGGCCAACTAGTGATGCTGACACGGATATTGCAGTCAGTGCTGGAGATGGACCTGTAGGAAATGATGTGAGCAAAAATGTTTTGGCTGGAGTTGGGTTTTAATGAACGTAGGATTAGAATGCTATCTCAATTGATATTCTTAAATACTCAATGCTGAACCCTAGGTATGGCTTTTATTGCTGAGTGAACCAATGTAAATATGTACATTCCATACCTGAGGGACCATTGTGGAAGTGGAGATTCACTGTAGTAGTTGGTGCTACTACGGTGATTGTGGCATCCTCCTGGGCCCTTCTGAATAGTGAATACAAGGGGTTGCTTGCCTGGCACAGCCGCAACTTGCGGAACACTTGTATTTTTTTAAAATAATATAAGGCATTAATTGACTGGACAAGGTGATGTCACAATCTCCACCTTGTCCAGATTGTCTTCTATTCATTAAAAAAAAAAATACAAGGTGTTCCAAGAACGATAGCTGTGCCAAGTGGCCCTCTGTATTCACTATGCAGAAGGTCAGCACTGGGCACTGTGCCCATAAGACTGATCACCACAGTGATTTGCGGTTTCAGTGGTCTTCCAGGTATGGAAAAAGCATACTTGCATTGGTCCACTCTACAAATAAAAAAAAATACCTGCATACCTGGAATTTAGCTTGTACAACTCAGGGATATAGAGGATTTTTTCAGCTACAAAATTAAAAGATGGCCATCAAAAAACAAAAAAAAAAACAACTTACTGTCATCCTGCTGTGTACCGTAAAGTATTTCACTCTTCATAATGAGAATACCAAAGAAGACAATACATAAGCCTACTGACAGTGCCCGCACCAGTTTTGATAAATAATATTCTAGAGTTCGACTCCAATTTGGTTTACTTAGAGCAGATTTTCCTTGACTCAAATTTGGATAGTTCTTATAGGAAAGCTGGTCCTTTGCCCCCCCTTCATTGTATCTGTACCAAGGTCTACCCTCATCCCTATTTATAGGCAAACCTGACCGGCTACTTCTTTCACCTGCTGACCTTAACCTTATCTCCTGTCCCAGGTAGCCACCATAATCAGGAGTGCTTCTTGCAAATCTCTCACCTCCTAGAGAAGACCTGGCCTCCTGTTCCATAGAACCATAATCAGAAGTAGTTTTTGAAAATCTATCAACTCCCAAGGTGGATCTGACCTCCTGCCCCATGGAACCATAATCGGAAGCAGTTTTTGTAAACCGATCATCTCCCACATAGGACCTGGCCTCGTGCCCCAAAGAACCAAATCTAGAAGTGGTTTTTGGAAATCTATCACCTACCGTGGAAGACATGACCTCCTTTTCCATGGAACCATAACTAGAAGTGGTTTTTGGAAATCTATCATCTGCTAAGGAGGGCCTGACCTCTTGCCCAAGGTAACCACTATAATCAGAGGTGTTCCTTGTGAATCTTTCACCTCCCATGGAAGACCTGACCTCCTGCCCTAGGTAGCCACCATAATCAGATGTGTTCCTTGTATATCTGTCCGCTCCCTGGGAGGACCTGTTCTGCTCCAATATTCCACTATAATCAAAAGTGGTTCTTGGAGCTCTCTCCACTCCCAGTGAAGATCTATTCTCATACTCGGAGTAGCCACCATATTCAGCGGTGCTTCTACCTAAATGCCCTCCCAGCAGTGGGGACCTGTCACTCCTCCCCTGTCCTGTGCCCCCCACGTGAGCAGGGACACCTTTACTATAGGAGGAATAGCTATCCTCTGCCCTTTCCGACCTCCCTCCATAGCTGTTCCTCCCCAGCACGGGGGAACTGTCCTCTTCATCCTCCCAATCCTCTCCTTTATCTTCTAGGGGTTCGCTGCGCCTACTCCTCGTGTTCCCCTCGCTTCTCCTCGTCCTCCCGCTCGACTTTTTCTGGCTTTTCGCAGACTCTGCTTTTAACTTTTGCAGCTTTTTTTGGTACACCCCTCGGGTACTGTCAGTGATAGGTCCCGGAGTAACGCCTAGCTCCTGCAACTCAGCCTTGAGTTCGGCATCCGACATGTTTCTCATGGCTGCCATGACGTCGCTTGCCCGCGCCTTCCCCAGCGCCATGTTGGTAAAGGGCGAGTAGATGGGCGGGGTCTATGCTGAAACCGAAGCTGAACATATTAATGCAGTAAGCAGACTGCTGAAGAAAGAACACAAACTGACTAAGCGGTTTTTTTTCAGGTTGAAAGTATATACAATTCTAATCACTATACTCTCATATAGCAGGTTTTATCAAGGACATGTTATTTTCCTGCTTTTGAACTCCTTCAATACGGGTACTTTCACCCCCTTCCCTCCCAGTCCGTTTTTCAGCACTGCCACAAGTCGAATAATAATTGCCTGATAATGAAACACTACCCAAGCTCATTTTTCTTTTTCATTTTGTTCACAATAGAGCTTCCTATTGGTGGTATTTAAAGTGGTAGTAAAGTGCACTTAACCACAAGTCCGGACACTTTTACCCCCTTCCTGTCCAGGCTAATTCTCAGCTTTCAGTGCTATCACACTTTGATAATTGTGCAGTCATGCAACACTGTACCGCTATGAATTCTTTAGCATTTTTTTGAGACAGATAAAGCTTTATTTTGGTGGTATTTATTCACCACTGGGATTTTTATTTTTTTTTGCTATATACCGGTAAATGAAAAAGTCCAAAAATTTTGAAAAAAATGTTTTTCTTATAAAATTTAGCAATTAATAATATTTCATCATAAATCTTGGCTAAAATGTATTCTGTTATCTTTTTAGTAAAAAAAAAAACCCAAATTAGTTTATAACCAAAAATTATAATTGTTTAAAAAAAAATTTTTATTTTTTTTTTTTATTATTATTTGTTTTTTTGTTTTGTTTTTTACATACTGTCACCCTAGCAGTACAGTGTCACCATGGTCATGTCTGAGCGAGCTTCAGGTGCCCACACTTAAGATGACAGCATTCACAATATGAGGGTGCAGTAAGTAATTTTATTTTTTATAGGGAAAGCAAAGGATTCCAAGTGCAGGTGATCTCAACTTGCATTGCCTAAGCTGCCACTCTCACGTGGGTGCCTTTAGAAAAAAATTAATTAAATGGCTGGAACTCCGCTTTAACAGCTTCCCGACTGCCCTATAGTAGATACTGCTATAGGACGGCACAGGTGCGCAAAATCACGTATATATAAGCCATTCACAGCCGCAGCTGTCAATCACTGGGTCCTAGGCGGTGTACACTCGCTGGTGCCTGGTGATTGCTGAGCATCTCCGACGGGGAGGAGAACTGTTTGTAAACAAAACAGTTCTCCTCCCTGTCAGCTCTTGCACTGTCAGGAGCCGCCACGATCCGCGGCTCGGCACAAGCGCACTGTGCCCACTCACGCTAGTGTGCGGGCACTAGGTCCTGGCCGGCCGCGGCGGAGATGGAACCCGCGCATGCGCACTCGAAGCCGCAGGTGCGCGTCTGGCACCAATGACAGTGCAGGGCGCAATATTTAAATCGCCCTGCACTGACAGGAATCGCCGTTTGGTCTTCCTGTGTTCCTGATCTTGTTGCCTGTGTTTCCCTGATTGTTGCTGACCCGGATTGTTCCTGACTTGCTGTTCTCTCCTGCTCTGACCCCTGGCTTGCCTGACCTCCCTCCTGGATGCCCCCTATTGGATCTGATCTTCTGTTGCTGACCTGGCGTGTGACCTGACCATTCTCTGGCTGCTGCTTTGTACCGCACTGCTCCCACGGCTACCGACTCAGCTCATCTGACCACGCTCTTGCTCATCCCTCCATCCACCTTGCTCTAGCATACCTGCCTCTTCACATCAGGCTCTCACCCTGCAAGAACCTCTGGCGGATCCCTCTACCATGGGTAGGTGTACTCTGGAGCCGCGACCTGGTCTCGGTTCGCTCCAAGTCCATCCCCACCATCAGGGGCCCTGGTGAACAAGCGGACCGGGACTTAGACTCCACGCTCTGGGGGAACCTGACCTGTGGGCTGCTAGAGGTACCACCGGGCGGTTCCTTACATGCACACTGCTTCGGATGGCTGTGCACAGCACAGCCATCCAAAGCAGTCTGCTTACAGTGAAGGACACGGACACAGCACACTGGTAACCCTTTGATCACCCCTCATGTTAACCCCTTCCTGCCCAGTGCCATTAGAACAGTGTCAGTGCTTCTTTTTAGCACTCATCTCTATATTGGTGTCACTGGGGATGTCAGTGACACCAAGTCAATTCCCCCCCAGTGTCAGAATGCCCGCCGCAGTCCCGCTATAAGTCGCTGATCGCTGCCATTACTAGTAAAAAAAAAAAAAATTCCAGTATCTATACCGCCATTTGTAAACGCTATAACTTTCATGTAGACCACTTAATTTACATGTATTTGGATTTTTTAGCAAAGACATGTAGCACAATACATTTTGGAGTAAATTTAAGACGAAATGATATTTGTAAAATTTTTTTACTGGACATGTTTAATAGCAAAAAGTCAAAAATATTTTTTTCTCAAAATTGTCAAGCTTTTTTTTTTATAGCGCAAAAAAATAAAAAAAACACACAGGCCATCAAATACCACCAAAAGAAAGCTCAATTCGTGGGAAAAAAAGGACGTAAATTTAATTTGGGTGCAGTGTTGCATGACCGCGCACTTGTCAGTTAAAGCAACGCAAAACATGGGCAAAACAAATCTTAATGCCTAAGCACAATCTTGCAATGTTGACGTGTTAGTAAAACCGTACATATCATCACAGCTACTTTGTACATCCAGGTGGATTATACCTTGTTTTTTTCAGGACAAATTGGGCTTTGATTTGGTGGTAAATGGTAATGGATCTTCTGATTTTTTTTTTTTTTTTTTTAGGAAAACTGGCCCAAAATAGTAAACAAAAAATCTTTTTTAAAATTTAGCTGCATGAAGGTAAAAAAAACCTTGAGCCTTTAGAACTACTTTAAAGTTGTAAACCTCAGACATGAAATATGAGAAAAGTATATCCCTCTATTGTGTACATGTCTCAAGAGCACTAAGTGTCATTTCTTTCTGCTGCTTCGTTCCTCTGCTATCAGCATGAATCACTTCTGACAGGTTTTCCTGACATCAAGAAAAAAATGGTGACAGGGGAGGGATCTCCAGCAGATTGACAGTCTCAACTCTGTTCCTGTGAGCTGTGTGGAGGGGTGTGTATCTCTTCCTTCCAATCAGCTCTCAGAGTTCTCCTCAATTAACTCTGCAGAGTGTAATTTCCGCTCTCCGCGCCTTTTTTTCTAAACTCTCAGACAGACTTCATAAATTCAGCACTTTAAACGGATATAGAGAAGACTGCAGGTAGACAGGTACAACATATGTAGGAGAATTTGTTTCATCTCTGTGTATCACCTGAGGCCAGTTACTTCACCAGGCATATGTAAGGGTTTACAACCACTTTAAAATTTTTATTTTCATCACATAGGAAAGAAAAAGTACCCTGATTTTTTTTAGTGATAGGTTCTCTTTAACCACTTGCACTCTAGAGGATTTACCCCCCTTCCTGTCCAGGCCATTTTGTGCGATACGTCACTGCTTTACTTTAACTGACAGTTGTGCAGTCATGCAACGCTGCACCCAAATGAAATTTGTGTACAGTTTTTCCCACAAATAGAGCTTTCTTTTGGTGGTATTTGATCGCCTGTGCGTTGTGGGAGAAAGGGTTAATCTTTTATGCCTGTCTAATATCTACTTTAATAAATCTGAAAAATACTAACATTTTATTCTCCTCCACAAATAGAGAACATTGATCAAAAATCAATACTGCATGTTTGCCCGGCTACTGTTTATTCTAATTCTAATATGTCATGTCAACCTGCCCGAAATTTGTTAGAATCACACTATTTACAGATAAGCGAACTTTGGATTTTTTGCAGACCACAACACTTTTATATAACCATGTTATAAAATATGCTTAGCTAATGATGTTCTGATTGGTTGAATTGGTACCAGTTGTAATAATCTGATTGGATGGGGGGACATCCTTCCTCCATCCTCCCTCCATAACTGTTTGGTATTTAATTGTTTTTCATGCTACCAATAAACGAGCATACTTAGAATCAACCTGCCTCTGTGGTCTTTTCTGTATGCTCTCCGAGGGGGTTCTCATATCATCCTAGGGGCTAAATTAACCCCTTCCCTACAGTTTGGTGGCAGCGGTGGGATGCAGTGATCATCCGGGTAAGTGCATTTATGTCTTCTTGCCTTGGCTCTGACTATACTGTATTTCTCTATAGTTAAATTTAGTAAACAGCTGGTAGAAGCTGAGATTGCATTTGGTACGCAATAGTTGCGTTTGGGGCGCAACGGTGGTTGTGTTTGGGACACACCAGAAGTTTTTCTGCTGTAGTTTTGGGAAGTACAGAAAATTGTCTTTGGTAGACTGAGTAAAATGGGTCTTTTTGGGAAAGACCAAGGGAAAGTGGATTATCTGAGGGACTTCTAACCTCTTCTTGCTTTACCTTTTCTATCGCTGCATGATATAGAGTATAAGATTGCCATTCATAGAGTTGTAAGATTGCTGAAGGCCTTGTAAGGTGAGACAACGGCTGACAGTGAACCATCATACTGCCCCTTATATCCTGTTCTCCCAACTGGAAACACAAGGGCAAAGGACGAGGAGCTCATCCAAATAGCTGCACTGGCCCTAAAGCTCCAAACCCCGCAAGCTCCTGCTGCCCAGGCCAATGCCTAGGCATCTGCCCCCTTACCAAGTATGGTTAAGGAGTCAAGAGATGCAGATGATGAAGAAGTGGTAACTGTCTCGAAGGCGACGATGGAAAAGGTAATAGAAACATTGAAGGAACAATATGAAGAAGCAACGCAGGAGGGAGAGGAAACACTTGAAGTCCCCAGACCTGCCAAAGTCTTAGCAGCTGAGAGACTTAAAGGACTTGCTGGTAAATGTTAATTTAAAACCCGCCCAGAGAGCCCTGAAGGAGCAACTGGGGAAAACTACGTCGGTTTGTCAGATATACGCACAATCCCAGAACCTGCAGCAAAAAAAAAACTGGTAAACTTTACTACCGCTTCAGAGCTGCAGCAGTCATAAAAGTTGACCTTTGCTCTGAAAATTACCTTTTTCCTTCTGTAACTCTCCTCCTTCACTTTTTGAAAAACACAATGAAGAGGCTTTATCAAAACTAGAGCAGCTATGCATGGCAACCAAGCAGCTTCTACCTTCCGCTTGTTTGGTTAAGCCCAACTCTGAGAAAAAAAATGAAAATGATCCCTGGCGGTGGGGATGCTACCACACTGCATGAGTTAACTGCTCATTCGGGTCTAGGGGAGAGTAAGAATGCCAATATCTGCTAAGGCACATAGAAAACTATTGTTTTTTATGTGTCCAGTTCATGCTGCAACATAATCCAGAAGTGCAGTGCAGTGAGCTGTAATAAAATGAAGACATGCCGCATGTTGTTGATGGGATAAAATGAACAACAGAACATGAAATATATAAAACTAGTGTGTAGTGTTGCTCTGCTCCAAAATCATTAAGACATAACCATAACAAAAAGTCCAAAACCACATATGTCAAACTTAAACATGAAAGTCCAAAGGAAAGAAAATGAAGGAAAAACAAATCTTCTGCAAATCTTGATGGAGAAAAAAAAAACATGTTTCTACTGGAGAGTGAGTCCGCAATCCCGATGCTTTAAATGGTATACACCACCTAGTAGACCAAATAGTCTTTAAATGGTATACACCACCATGGTGAACATGTAATATAGGTGGACCCTCACCTTCATGTGTGGACTCATATAAGAAACAGGTCAACCAGGCATCTCCCCTCCTAGTGGGGGTAAAAGAAAGATCTTCAACAGTCACGTGGTGCGTGACGATACACGCGGGGAGGAGCGAGGTGACGTCAGAGCCGGAACGCCGTCAGCACAGTAGGAGACAACTCAGTGTATTGTTACAGCTTTACCACTACTTTTATACTGCTGTTTCTATTACTGTTACTATGTGAGTGTATTTTAATAAACTTTTAATGAGTTTTTAACAAACGTGCTGCACTATGGTTGCTTTATATGGTTGTTGAGTTCCACTTACAGAGCCAACTATACAGCTAAAAGGTCGTTTTTGAGGATACAGAAGCCATATATGAGGGAAGGATTATCCATAGATGAGAAATCTTTATTTTACCCCCACTAGGAGGGGAGATGCCTGGTTGACCTGTTTCTTATACGGGTCCACACATGAAGGTGAGGGTCTACCTATATTACATGTTTACCGTGATGGTGTATACTATTTAAAGACTTGAGGGCTCACTCTCCAGTAGAAACATGTTTTTCCCATCAAGATTTGCTGAAGAGTTGTTTTTCCCTCATTTTCTTTCTTTTAGATTTTCACGCATAAGTTTCACATATGTGGTTTTGGACTTTTTGTTATGGTTTTTTTATGTTTTATGTCTTATTGACTTTGGAGCAGCGTAACACTACACACTAGTTTTATATTTTTCACATGCGATGAACACACATTGTATGTGTTTGCAGCAGCTTGTATTCATTTGTGTTCTATTATTGATATATTTGGCAGCGTAAAATTTTTTCAGTTTTCTTCTAGAACATGAGTCCTTGCTCATATGCAACAATCAAATGGTATGCATCATCCTAGAATTTAGAGAGGTCTTAATTACAGTTTGTGGATATATGATTGGATGTTTTGTGATCCCCAGGAAATACCAATATAAATTAAAGTATAGGTTATACAGGGCTTTTTTTCATCAAAAAATAGGTGAAGGTACTCTCCCTTTCTGAGTCACCCCTTATCTCTGTCCCCTACCCACCTCCATCCCTTAGCTCCACCCTTTTTAGAGAATACAGAACCAAGTATAATTTTATGGTATCAAGTAATATAGGTGTCCGTTTATGAACCAGCGGTAAATGATCGCTGCTCAGTTCTCCGGAATTCTCAGAGAACGCAGTTCTCTTGTGAATGCCGTTTATGAAGCGGTGTAGATAAGTTCTCTGAATGAAGCGAGAATGGTCTACAAACGCTGGAAAACGGCTGATTTTACTATAATCTCGCAAGATTACAGTAAAAGATCAGTTTACTAAGCAGAGGTAAATTATTGCTGCTTAGTTTGTGGTTCCTCCGATTCTCCAGCTCTGGGCTGGAGAATCTGGAGGGAGAACACAGATCTCCAGTGAAGGGCTGAACATGTTCTCTACTGATCTCCTCAGTGTCATAAACTGTGAATAACCAGAATCCTCGGAATCACAGCTATTCTCTGTGTCATAAACGGACACCTTGTATGGAGCCAGCAAAAACCACCCCGTAGCAACAATATACCCACCCCGCCGACAATAGACTCCTCAGTGACAACAGATCACCTCCAGCAATAATAGACCCCCCACTATAAAATACCACCCTCCCTCAGCAACAACAGATCCACCGCAGCAACAATAGTTCCCACCCAGCGA